TTTAAGTAATAATACTTTTGCAATCCGTACATCCAATACGGAGAAATCCCACCGAATAGGAATGTGGTAAAACAGGGGGGCTTTAGCATCGCCTTAAAGTCGTACATAAAATGTGATTGGATAATTTTCTTTATGCATACGTTTATCCGGCTATGCAAGTTTGTGTGGATATACCTTAAGAAAGCAAGAAGTAGTGAGTAGATTTATAATTTTTTTGTAGTCTGCTTTTTGTAGTCACACTTATTTATTCTTATTTCGAATTCGAATACAAAAATTGACATAACCTATGTACAAGAGGAAATCAAAAAGTAAATTTATTTTATTCACATACAATAGCCGTTAACAAAATATGTACATTATTTCTCAATACAATCATTTAGCTTTGCATAAAATTTTGTTTAACAATCTACAAATCTGATTCCATCTATGAACAAACTGGTTTTTGACTATCCTCGAAACATCAATGGTATATACCGTTTCCTTAAGAGCCTGCGCACAATAGAGGGACAAGAATTAGATATTAAGATTTCAACCTATCAGAAACCGTGTATTCCGATGTAATCAGTTTCTGATAGGTTAAAATCTTAATATCTAATTCCTGTTCCTCTATTGTGCTCAGGCCCTAACTTACTTAACTTCCTCATTACTATTACGATCTTTGTGCTTCGAGCAAATTGGTTTCAATTTATTTGTACTTTCGGTATTCTTGGTTGACGTTCGCAATAATTATATATAATTTCCGCTAATTCTGAATCTGTATCACTAGACTCTTCATTCACTAGAATCAAGTGCTAACTTTATAATAGTTTCAAATATGAATTTTTTCTGTATGCTTCTCTCCATATTTCTAGGTTACTTGTTTCTTTTCGCTGACGTCGCTATATGCTGACAGCACTGAAAATATCGTTCCAAAATGAAAGCTGCGTTTGCATAAAAAGCATGCTTATGAAATTGGAACACTATTGGTAGCATGCACTTATGACGACATGCTCGCAGCGCTGACAAACAATTTTGGAACACAGCCTAAGCTGGTTAAGTAAACCGACGATGGTGAAAGTGGCCCTTAAAAGTGAAAATTTTAACCATTGAAGTTAATGGAGAAATTTTTCACTTTTCACTTTTTATCTTAGGGAAAAAGTTTCATGATTGATACCCAGAGCTCTGGGATATGATATCGAACTTACACACCAGAGTTCTGATTGGGCGGCTCGTTATTTCCTATTGTCTGTGCCTATTGCCTGGGGCTCTATTCTTGAAAAGAAACGTATACGAAAGTCCAGAGAAATACTATAGTATACGTAACGTATACTGTAGCATTTCCCTAGACTTTCGTATACCTTTCTTTTCAAGAATAGAGCCCCTGTAGCCCTGTACCGAAAAACGTACATCCATTTCTGCCTGCAGTACATCCATTTTAACGTAATGGTACGTTTCCACTGAGCGCGTCACGCGTCGCGTCATGAAAGAGAGAAAGAGATAAGATTATATAAATACACAACTCCTCTTTTTCTCTTCTTCGACTACCCGACGCGTGACGCGCTCAGTGGAAACGTACCATATGCTATAATTTTATCGACAAGGTCAGAAAATGGATGTAGCCACGTAGTTCCCAAACCAAAAATGGATGTACTGGCGATAATGTACGGGTGATTTCGACGGTGACAGGAAAAAGGCAGGCATGGCCTTTCTCAAGTTTCTCTCAGTTTCTCTCTGACGGAATCAAGTGGAATCTGGGATCTGGGAGCAAGAGAGAGAATTTGTAAGTAGGTATGGCTGCTTTCCATTTGATGACACAAATCGACACAAGTCGACACAAATGTCGTTCTATCCTTCTTGATATTCAGAGAGTGACAAAGATAGAACGACACTTGTGTCGACTGTGTCTCCTAAAAGGAAAGCAGCCTATGATAGGGGCTCCGCACAATAAAAGGAATAGGGAACAGAGAACAGAGAATAAGAATTTGAACCTATCAAAAATCATGTATTGTGGAATACACAGTTTCTGATAGGTTGAAATTCTTATTCTCTGTTCTCTGTTCCCTGTTCCTGCTATTGTGCGGAGCCCCATAGGCATGTATAAACAACATATATATTCAATAACGAGTGAGAATAATTGTCATTCATTCATTCTATTGTATGTATGTACACGTTCAGATTTTTTCTTTTATCACGCACATGCGAGTTTTCTAATTCATTGATTAATCAATTGCAAATATAGCTTTTACAAGACGAAGTTACATTTGTCCATAACGCGATTGATTAACCGATAAATTGAAAACTTGATGCTTAATGAGAATAACGAAAATGGTTGTTTACTGTGCATAGTTGTACTGGATTTTATTTCCGACAATGCTACTACGTACATTGCATGTGTCAACAAAGTATAAAAACAAAAACAAGAAAAACACGTGATGTTAATGTATGTACAACGGTATTATTTTTGTTATCGATTATTGTAAACATAGATTAGGTTAGATTATGCTCTAATAAAAAATACTGGTTTTAGCAGATAAATTGTCAATAGTGGGAAGGCAAGTACGTTGATGTACTATCGATCCATGACTTAAAATATGATAAAATAGCAGAAAAAATGAATGTAAAAGTTGACGTCGAATATTGGTGAGTGTATGCCCACAATCATTTAATAGAATTCTTCATTAATACAGATTATTCTTATTACAATCAATAGGATTTAAGTTCTCTTTTTAGATATAAAAGTACATCTTATTCTTTAATCTTAATGTTAACATTATAATTATTTATATTATAGAAATCATAATAAAGAAACAATTTAATTAAGAAATATAGTGCACGTTCTTATATATTAAATAAATAAATTTAGAAATTTTATTAATATCCTAGCAAGATGTTTAAACATAAGTTATTATATAAATAAAGTAATTATTCAGTTTAGCTACCGCACCTCAAAAATCAATAAAATTAGGCTTATTCGACGCGTTTTTGCATGAAACGAAAGAATCTGGTAAAAAAGTGTCGCTCTGCCCTGTGAGTCGAAATATTAAGCGTTAAAGTTGACAACTATTGAAGTTAGGAAATCTATCACTGTCGCGAAATACTGCGATGCAAGCATGCATTGCGGTTACCTTTTTCATGCTCTGTGACAATTCACTGCTTTAAAAACAATTTATTGTTTTAAAAACAACAATTCACTGCTTTAAAAACAACAATTCACTACTTTAAAAACAATTCACTGCTTTAAAAACAACAATTCACTGCTTTAAAAACAACAATTCACTGCTTTAAAAACAATTTACAGCCTTAAAAACAACAATACACTATTTTAAACATTCAAATTCTTTGCATTAGCAGTAAATTTGTATTTTTGAAGCAGTGAATTGTTGTTTACAAAGCAGTGAATTGTTTTTAAAGCAGTGAATTGTTTTCAAAGTAGTGAATTGTTTTCAAAGTAGTGAATTATTATTTTTAAAGCAGTGAACTGCCGTTTTTAAAGCAGTAAATTGTTGTTTTTAAAGTAGTACTTTTGTGTTTTTAAAGCATAGAATAGAGCCGCTTATTATTTAAAATGTATACCTCTTTAATTTTTCTTATATGGATTAAAATTTAAATCCAACATCTCTTTGAAATACACACTAAAGCTATAAATACGACTTCGCCGTTGTCGTCCAAATTCCTATAAATTTTACAAAATATTACAAATGTTTCATTATGTATTACTTAATTCGTTAATTAAAATTAATGATATTACCTCATGATTTAAATAATTAAATCTGTAGTGAATCGCGCGTTTCCGATCTTTTGTATACGCTTTTTTTAATGTAAAAGGTAAGATGTGTAAAAAATCTTCCAACATTGCATTTAGAAAAGAGAAATTTACGAGAATCACTCATTTGTGATCGGTTAAGTTGCGATCCCAGAACAATTTTCGGATGAACTTCGGCCACAATTTTGCATGTCCAACTACATCTTGGACAGCAAGCCAAGGATTTTTATTCAGTTGCTCTACTAAATATGCCATTTTACTTATTACATCCATCAAATCAAATCGGTCTACTGCAAAGAAGTATGCATTCCAGAACGACAACCGTTTATTGACCGCTTAGTGAGCTCTTTCATCTGATTGGCATATTCCATTAGATCCTAAAATATAGACCAATCAGATGAAAGTGCTTTAAACTACAACTGTCTCACTCTAACTTATTGCACTACTTCAGAATTCTTCGAAAAAGAACAGACCTTACGTATACGTAGCGCTGTAGCGAGTCGGAATGACAAATATAATTTGAGTCGGAAAACCAATCAAGGGGAAACCAAAAGAAGAAGAAGAAGAAGAATGACAGATATCTTAGGGCCGATTGTTCTATCTTTTGGTAAATTTTACCTGTTGGATAAGTAGCAAGATTACCCAATCACATGCGCGGATTACCAGATTGACCTCACAGGTAAAATTTACCATAAGGTGGACAACCGGGTCTTAATCTCTAAAATCTCGAACTTTAAGGGGCTCCGCACAATAAAAGGAACAGGGAACAGAGAATAAGAATTTCAACCTATCAGAAATCATGTATTGTGGAATACACACTGCGTATTCCATAATACATGATTTCTGATAGGTTGAAATTCTTATTCTCTGTTCTCTATTCCCTGTTCCTTTTATTGTGCAGAGCCCTTAATGCTTAATATCTCGGCTCACAAGGCAGAGAGACACTTTTTTTTGCCAGATTCTTTCGTTTCATGCAAAAACGCGTCGAATCAGCCTAATTTTATTGATTTTTGAGGTGCGCTAAACTAAATAATTACCATAAATAATACAATTTATAATATTAGAAAGATTTTTAATATAAATATTTATATCTGAAAACTCAAGATTCCCGTAAGCAAAGAAAAAATATTTGATCCCTGTAATAATTACTTAGGACCACAAAAATATTTTTGGACACAAGTTAAAATAGGTACTTATCTATTATACAACATTTTGAATACAACTAAATCTAAATTCGCAAGTTGTTTTGCTCCATTACATCTAGTTTTTTAAGATAATCGAAAAGAAGAGCAAATCTATAAAATTGAAACATTTAAGAAAGGAGCAAAAGATAAATATGACATTAAAATATAGTTGTAGAATTAATTTAAATTTTGATAAGTTAAACAAAGTGTAAGAAACAGAAAAATTTTCTTTACTAATGTTAGATATTATAGTTTAACAGGTCATAAAACAAAAATCAGTTAAAAAATTATTTTTTCACGAATATAATTAAATATCCAATTTTTATACTGTGAGCTAGATGCATGTTTATGCTTAATAAATTTGCTAACGATTGTCACCATTTTGCTAAATCTTAAATGTATGTATATTTAATAAATTTTTTTAATATATAAAAATTTTTAATTTGGTTTATTTTTTGCCAATATTAATTATCAAATATAGAAGTTTTTTACAACAATTATTATTTTTATTTATTATTGTTAAAGTAAATAATAAATATTTTTTTAATGTAATCGCGGATATTGGAAAGTTTGCCTTGTATCATTTCCAAATTAATTTAATATAAAAAATAATATAAATTCATTTAATATAAAAGAATGTATACTTATTAAAATTGTTTCTTTAAAATTTCTGTAAATTATATAAATGAATATAAAAGAATATAAAACGTACTTTTTTAAAGGACTTTTATTTACAAATATATCTTCTGACTAAATAAATTACTATAACTTTGCAGTGGTTCGTGTGGGCACAAGAAACACTTTCTTGAATTGGCAGAGGAAATAAAGAAGAATGTCCCCCATGTCACTGTCTCTGGTACAGCAGGAAGGCAAGGCAAGTTGCAAACAGAACACGAATACGCGAAACATATAATCAGAACTGGATCAAATACAAAACACGAATATCGAGCAAATAAAAGTCTTACAATTGTTATTTTTAGCCTCGTTCGAAGTGCAAGTCAACGATGAGCTAGTATACTCTAAACTCGAAACTCTCGCGTTTCCAGACTTTGGTGCAATTGCGGATATGATCAAAGATGTATCTGTAGGTAAACCAGTGAAGAAAATTGAGCATCAGACTGCAGACTGTATATTATTATAAACACATTTTATTATAAATCAGGTACAAAATAAAAATCATTTTATTGATAGAGGAAAGGAGGCCCACATATTCTCTTGCCCCCCTTATTCCATAATCACAATCTTTTTTTTCTTCTACAGTTTTTTTTAATTATGTTTATTCTATATACTTATCGATTATACTATAGGTAGAGATTGTTCTATATCTATAGTATTATTGTTATCACTCTGTGGCTAACAACCTTATATCAAAGTAGCTAATATACATGAATATTTACTGAGTTATTTCAATAAAATACAATAATATTTTATTGATTATTTTCATAATCCCTCCCTTCCTCTATAATAGTACTAAGTACTTAATAGAACAATATAAGATTCTTCTGTAATTTGCTCAGGATTATACGTGAAGATAATCATTTAGAAATTATTAAGAACAGTAGATGTGATCGCCAATCTTAAGCATACCCTGCGTATTCTCTAATCTAGTTAAATAGATTCCAAATCTCAACTTTCCATGGAACTTTTCCGCTAATGTTCTCAATGGTTCGATAGTCTTTTTACCAGTTGTTTGATCAATGCATATCATTTGACACCTTGTGCAAGGACCATTTATCTGTCAATTAAATAAATGCGTTATAGCAATATACTTCGAATTAATAGCTTTGTGAATATAAAAAATTCATACTTTAAAGTTATTATTTCCAATGCGAATATGTTCCCATTTCATTTCATCAAAAGCTTCGCAGCCTTCCACAATAATATTTCCTCTGAACCGATGTACAGCTGTATCTTTTTTAAAATCTAAGGTATGAGATATCTTATCAAAGAGCCATGACACACTTGCTTCGTTTATTGCTAAGTACTGTGCCTGGCTAGAAAATGATAACTCTGTCTTATCTAGTCCTATAAGAGAAAAATAAGAAGTTTATGTAATCGTAACTTTGAACTTGAATATTTTCACATTTATACCTTTCTTTTGTCTTCCGTGGCTTTGTCGTACTAGCCTAAGATTTGGTTTGCCAAGTGCTAAACTCAGCCATTCAGAAGCTTCTGATCCGCAATCAATACCTTCTACTTTGCTTTCACAAATTCTACTTTGACATATAGGATGTTTTATTGACTTTTCATAAGTATTTTCTAAAGAAAGTTTGATCATTGGCATTCCTAAAATAATTTATTATTATTATGTCTAAATAACATTACATTGAGGAATGTTGAAACGAAGACAATTACCACGAATTGTAGTGCAATCAAAATTTTCGAACTTGGTTGAAAGATTTCAACATTTTTTTTTACAGAATTAAGATATGTGCAAATAAAAAACCCGATTTATTTGATGTATTTGATTTCACAAGAAAATTGTACAAAAATGAAAAAATTTACTTTTGGCTCGATAGTTATCACCTGAAGTTAAAGCTTGCTTAATATAAAAATTTTATAGTTTATATGAGTAGCATAAGTATCCACTAAACCTCGGATTATTTGAACAATACTGAGTTTGTAGATCGAAAGAGCCTAAAAGAAAATATTTTAGGTTGAATGTAATTCACATGTATTACGTTTGCTTAGCAAAGAATGATAAACAGAGCAGTAATCGTGTCTTTAGTAAATGTTTGAGCTTGCAAGAGCTCTGCAATTTATTAGATAAAAAACAACCAAACTTAATATTAGATAAGGATCTAATAGTTTAGAATGATCTACACAATAGTTTGAGTGAGACAGAATGATAACCTAAGAAACTGAGTTAAAAAATCTATATCATCGACATCGAAGTTTAATTGTCGCTTCAGCATTCTCTTAAATTGCAGATTACTAAATTTCCAGAACTTAATCATTATTACCTGGATATGTTAGTTTCATAATTTTTTGGTTCTTAACAATAACCGGCTTCAGCAAACATAGATTCGTATAATGTTTTTGCGTCAAGCAAGTTCCAGAAGATGTCATTATCATGAACTCTCTGTCATATTCTAGACCTTTCGAATTTAAATTCCATGAATCTGTAATTTCGTACGCTCCACACGATTTGATAGGATATATAAATAACCGTTGTAAGATACATTTGTTTATTTGCGTATTTATTTTGCTGAAATTTATAGAATTCCTAATGTGATCAAGGTTTTCATTTTCATTATGGAAATTGTTCTGAAAATTATTTTCCTCTTTTTTTGTAATACATGAAACAGAATAATCTATATTAGTATTATAAAAATTCTTATGATTTTTAAAAATTCTCATTTTGTGGTCCTTCCACCATTCGGGAAATTTTCTGATGCATGGTTTGTCAATGAAACATTTGGTAATCATGAGTAAGATTGTCTGAACATCTTCTATTGTAGACATATATCCGAAGGAAATTCTCACTGCTCCGGTCGGTTTCCCATTGATCAAATCTGCGATACCACCGCACGTATATCCCGCCTCGTAATTTTGAAGAATATCTTTAGTCGAGAGGGATAAATGTCTCTGACATGCACCGGGATTACAAAAGCAGCCTGTCCTTAGATGTATTTTAAATATTGCTGCCATATTTAGAACTTCCATGTATCCCACATATTCACCATTGGAGCGCATAACATTAAATGTAATAATGCCGCCTTGCGATCTGCAATCCTCATAATCAGAATCAGAGTAGAGCTTTACAACTGGTTTGTCATTACAATGATGTAATGTTAACAGGGAGTGATGCAGAGTTTTAGCGAGTGAAAAAACGTGTTTTGATATTTGGTCCATAGTTAACTTTGAAAGTATTTCAAAGCCATATTGTAACGATGCGATAGATAGAAATGGCACAGTCCCATCTTCAAACCTATAAATAAAAACTGTTTCAGATAATCAATACGATAAAGAATGCCTGTTTCAGATAATTTTTTCGAAGTCATGCTGCTCTTACCTTTGATACAATATTTCACGTTTTCTATGAAATCTTTCAAAACTCAGAGCGATGTCCACTGTACCGCCACCATAATATATTTTGTCTAGAATATCTGAGCTTTTGTTTTTAACCAGCAGAGCGCCGATACCGGTGGGATAGCCGAACATTTTATAAAACGAAAGACATAGAAAGTCTGGTTTGTAAATAGATAAATCCAATTTATTCGTGGCCGCGAAGCTAGCTGCGTCGAGTAGAACATACCATCTGGTCGATGGTTTTCTAGCAAAAACAGAAAGCGCTCCAGCATGCGTATCACTAATCCATTTTAAGGGATACTTCAATCCAGAAAAATTGCATTGCGCAGAATACACGAAAAGAGAATTACTGCTCCGTTTCTCGTTGGAATCATGAGTAGTAGTTGAACGTTGATCCAGAACTTTAAACGCCTGATCGTGATCTAGGCAAATGATATCGGCTCCTCTTGCCGCGACTACATCCCTCATCCCGAGAACCGAAGTGTGATTGTCCTGTATGTAAACAAAACTTCCCCATTCATCCATTATAAAACGAAATCCTTCCGCGATTATCTTTAAACTCGCTGTGGCACCTGAGGTGAAGATGACGCTGTACTCGTCAGGATTTGTGTTGAAGTGACTTAAAACTCTGAGAATAATTATTCAAATCAACTGTAAATTCGTTATTATATTATAATCATCCATTTATCTGTGACTCTCACCGATATCTCATACGTTCAATAATGTCCTGCGTCAGCGAACTCCCGATGGAATGGGGATTCGCATAGAGAGAGCGATGCAAATCGGCACTAACATTTCTGATCTGCGTATCCGAATACAGAGTTGCACCCGCGTGATCCACGTAGCACTCGCCTAAGAATCACGCAGAAATAATTTAGCAGCATTTTTTATATAGTGTCATTCATATGGTACGTTTCTCTTGTATTAAATTAAATTTAAAATATTAAATTTAATTTAGAAGATCATTTTTTATCATATAAATGTTATTATTAATCTTAGTAATAAATTAATCTAGTAATAAATCAATAATCCAGTATTGATTTTTTAATCACGATAGAAATATTTAATATAGTAAAAAGAATGCAGAAAATATTAGTGAAATATATTTGCAAAACATTTTAAAGTTATCGGACATTCTTTTCATTAGGATTTTTTGGTCAATTTGGAATATATCTTAATGAAAACGTCAAAGCATCTATAATTTTTATTTTAATTAATGAAACTAAGTGAGAAACTAGGAAACTTAGAGTGAGAAAAAGTATAATGCAATTAAGAAAAGTTGCATATCATCTAAATTATTCAAATGTATGACGTGGCATAGGCACATCAATGTACAATGCAGGCATTATTCTTACATGTACCATCATTGTGCAATAATGGCGCTACGGGATGCCTTAGACACAGAAATAAATCTTTTGGGGAGAGGAAGAGAGAAAAAGAGAGAAAGACATCGATTAAAAGAAGGACCTAGAAGTATTATATTTTTAATTATATAATACTAAATTTTCGAAAAAGTTTTGAATCATCCTCTACCGTTTTTATATTCAAATTTATTTATATATATAAATTTATTTAGAAACCACAACAATTATTCTTTAAAATAAAGACCATGTTCGATAACCATTCGTCACTATTATTACCAGTCAACTGTCGAATTTAGGTATCATTCTGACTCCTTAGACGCGAAAAACTCACGATAATCTATCCCAACTTGCTCAATAGTTTCGAATCGTATCCTAGCAAGAAAAGTTTCATTGAACGAAATAGGCCGTAATCAAACTATACAAGATCAGGATTATATGTCGGGTGTGATAGGACTTAGAGCCGTTTAGATGAATAGTATCTAGTTAAATTCAACAGCTAGCAGACTGGTAACGAATAGTTATTGAGCATGATAATTTTTATTTTAAGGAATAATTATCATTGTTCTAAAAAAATTTGTAAAAACCATTTTTATGTGTAAAATTCAATAGGTGATTTAGAATTTTTTTTGACCTAGTCAGATTATCATTTGATTGAAAGAACGTTGAAAGCAAAAATAACAAAATTAATATACCTCACATATCACGTTGAGCTCTTAACACTGATCTGCTTTAACTATTGATACTTATGCAGTTTTAATTTATTTTTGATATTCTATAATTGAATATACTCATCTCTATACACGGATGACTAAATCTGTATATAAAATAGACC